ACTAGTTTTGACACCATGCAGAAATTCTTTATAGTTCTAGAATTATGCCCCTGTTTGTATGAGTATTTCATTGTGGTGAGTTGCAGTGAAATTCATGAAATATTGCACATTTTATACTAAATTGTTTACTGACCAATTGAGCTCAAACTACCTTCAAATGAAAGATGGATATGTCTACTTCAAATTTGGTTTTGGGACCATATTGAAATTCCCCATGATTTAGAAAATATGCCCCTTTTTGTGTGAAAGTGTCACTATGGCGGTTGCAGTGGTTGTAGTGAATTTCAAAAAATGTATGTGTTTTTGTAATGGATTGTTTACTGACCGAATAGTGCCCAAATGATCTCAAACTTCTTTCAAATGAAATATGAGTTTGTCTACTTCAAAAATAGTTTAGAGACTATGTTAAAATTCTTTACAGTTTGGGAATTATGCCCCTGTATGTATGAATATGTCACTGTGGTGAGTTGCAGTGAAATTCTAGAACCATTATACATTTTCTACTGAACTGTTTGCTAGCCAAATAGTGTCCAATTGAGCTCAAACTACCTTTAAATGAAATATGGATATGTATACTTCAAATTTGGTGTTGGGACCATAATGAAATTTCCTATGATTTAAAAAATATGCCCCTTTTTCTATGAAGGTGTCATTGTGGTGGTTGCAATGAATTTTTAGAAACTGTACATGTTTTTGTAATGGACTGTTTACTAACCAAATGATGTCCAAATGATCACGGACCACTTTTAAATGGAAGTTGGGTGTGTCTAATTCAAAATGGTTTTCGAACCATGTTGAAATTCTCTATGATTTTGGAGTTACGCTCCTTTTTGTATAACGATGTCTCTGTTGTGGTTGCAATGAAGTTTCCAAAACTGTCATATGTTTTATGAAAAGTTGTTCACTGACCAATATATCTCTGATTATGGTCAAACCACTTTTAAATGAAATATGAATAAGTATATTTTCAAATTGGTTTTGGGACCATGACTAAATTCCATATGGATTGTAAGTTAGGCCAAATTGTATAAGAGGCTATCATACTGAAAATTTTGTTCTGTTATGAATTATGAAATATGCATGGTTGCAATGAGACATACTAATGATATAGTGAATGCTTACGAATTATTGAATATGCATGATTGTAATAAGACATGCTTATGAACTATTAAATGCTTATGAAATAATGAATGCTCATGTAATATTGAATGAGCATAGTTCACGCTTATGAAATAGTGAATGCTTATAAAATGGTGAATGCTTGTGAGATATTGAGTGTGCATGGTTGTAATCAGACATGCCGCATATGTGATATGAAGCACTACGTAACTGATCATCCATTGGTAGTGTATTGTGATAAGATAGTAATGTGATAAGGTAAGAATGTGATATGAAGCACTACGCAATAGGTCATCCGTTGGTAGTGTATTGTGATATGATAGAAATGTGATATGATAAGAATATGATATGTGATAAGACCTTGTGGTTAGCTATGTGACATGTGAAATGTGATTGATTGGCATGCTTTGAGCGTATTGCATGATCATACTGTGAATGTGATTGATTGGCATGCTTTGAGCGTATTGCATGACCACACTGTAAATGTGATTAATTGGCATGCTTTGAGTGTATTGCATGACCATGAGGTGATATGAGATTTATCGGCATGCTTTGAGCGTATTGCATTGCCTGACTTGTGACCTCTCTGACTCGCCCAATGATGCGACGGAAGTCAGGGTAGATGATGTTTGGGTGGCCGCTCCCCCATTCATAGTGATTTGGTACCTAAAAGGTGTAAAACTCCTAGCCATGGTAGCGTAAGGGGTAGTGTCTTGCAAGGCCATCACCTATCGAAAGCCCCGAAGTCGTTGGGGACTGTGTGTGCGTGAGTGAAGGTATTATAAAGTGGGTCATCCACTTGTCATTGTCTTCCCTCTTGAGTAATGGTAGAAGTTATAAAAAATAGGATTAACTTAGCCTGATGGATAAAGCTTCTACTTCGGGAGTAGGCGAATTAGGGAGTGAGTTAGTTAATGCTTGCTAATGTTGCTTACACTTATTGAACTTATTGAGTTATAATTATGGTAATTTGTTATGATGCTCTAGATGAAAGGGGTTTGATAAATTTCAAATTCATGTGATAGTTGTATTGTAATTGCTCATCCCTGAAAAGAAATTACTCACGACACGTTACTAATACAATTGTGACACGTGGCTTTATATTGTAAAACCTACATAAAACTTTAGGACAGATAGGAATAACAGTGTATGGGCAGGAATGCTTGACGCTTTGATCTACTTACTGAGCTTTATAGCTCATTCCGTTTTCTCCCATCCTTGTAGATTGACCGCTGCAGGTCGAGGACGGATGGGTAGTGATCGTGACTGGCGGATTGAAGGCTCGAGCTTGATGAGAAAACTTCCTTGTGATTGTAGCTGTTAGATGGCAGTTGGCAATATAATCTTTTTGTTGTGAAGATATGTATTTCTGTTTTTGGGCCTTTAGTGCCTTGGACAATTTGTAATACCTTGAGATTGTATATATATAAGTTTCGGTTTTAGTTTGTCTAGTTTTGTTGTGGTTATATTGGAGATTTTATCTCTCTTTCGTGGTTTGATGTGATTACCATTTCCTAAAAAGCGTTGAGCGCACTCCCACTTGAGTGACATGCGCTACCTCTGGTCGCAGTTTCTGCACCTTAGTGCTCTCCGGAATATACGGTTGGGGTCAGGAGGTGGGGTCGTGACATATGGCCTCCTTGTATTTAAAGTAAATAGCCTATTTATATACTATTTATATACTTTTTTTTAAAAAAAAAGAAAAAAATCTTTTCTATCTGACTAAGACTCACTCAAGTTTGACCAAGCCCCTAAATATCCATAAATCAGTGAGTATGTTTCCCTTATTGGTCACATCCCATATGAAAATCGAGCAAATGCATGCTGGTGGTTGGTACTTCACACTTTCATGAATTTCCAAGGCATGATTTATAATGAAAATTTCAATTCTCTTTTTATAAAAAGTATGTTGTATTGTTTTTCGAGGATGCCCAAAATATTTTTGGATTTTCTTTTGTGTATATGCCTTGAAATTTTTGGACTTTGAAGGTTTGAACAATAGGTAGTTTTGAAAATAAAAAACAAAATGTTGCGCACGATCATAAATTTTTTGGTAGGGATCTTTTTAATAATGGAAAAATAAGAGATATACACATAATTTTCTCAATTAAAAAAATTGCATTCAATATTCATCTAAATAGTTGGTAAGGGTAATTAGGTGATCAATAAAATTAAGTATTTTGACGAGGATGAAGTTTGTATAAGGCACCATTCTTATATTCTAGAAGGAAGGTGCATCCATAATTAGTGTAAAAAAAAGAAAATAGATGCACTATTTATATGACTTGAAATTTTTTTCTATTCGTTGACATGCATTCAAGGTTGAGTTGATCAATCTGATGGCCTTCCAATGTTCACGTTTATCTAGAAGAGATCTTTGAGGTGCACCTTTTCTTAATAGAATAAGTTTAACATATTTTATATCAACTTTTTTCTTTTGATAAATCTCCTCAAAAGAAATTTTTCATGTAAGGTTGCAACTTTATACTATGGAAGTGGGGTATACCTCAAAAATATGTAGAAAAGAGTATTTTAATGTTGGAAAATTTTCCAATTGATCATCTTAACATCGAGATGTACAATTTAAAAAAAATAAAAATTTCAAGTCTTAAAAGTAGTTCATTTTGTAAGAAATTGTTTAGACAGTCTATTTCCAACGTTTTGAAGTGTTTATAGATATGCTCAATTTGCTCTATTTTTAAAATTTTAAATTTCATAATTATGGTTAAACTTAAATTATCAAGCCATTGTAAAGTTCTAGACATTGGAACTACATTTTTCGGTACTTGCACAATATACATCTCACCCTCTGATAAACGGAAAAGTTTATTTAAGGTTGATACCTTAAAATATAGAATTGAGGTGTACCTCTAAAATTCGTCATAGAAAGTTATTTTGATGTTGGAAAAAAAATCTAATTGATCATGTCGACATCAAGATATAGATATGGAAGAAAAAAAGAGATTTCAATTTTTTAAAATAGTAAATCTTGTAGCACATTATCTTGACTGTCAATTTCCAATATTTTTGTGTTATAAGATATGCTTGATTGAACTATTTTTAACGTTTAAATTTTTATAGCTAAAAATAAAAAAAGACGGAAAAAATTCAGATAAGGGTGAGGCGCTAAACAATCAAATTAAGGTGCATCTCAAAAATTCACTAGAAAAGGTTGTTTCGATGATGAGAAGTCCTCAATTTCAATCATCTCAACCTCAAAATATATGGATACGAGAAAAAAATAGATTTCGAGTGTTGGAAATAGTGCATTTTATTATATATTATCTAGACCATCAAATTTCAAGTGTTCATAGATTTACTTGATCTACACTATTTTTTAACTTTAAATTTTATAATTAGAGATAAAAATAAATTTTCCATCCATCATAAATATTTTTTATATTGAAACAACATACTTCACCACTATTTGAAGGTGTGCCCTACTTTGATTGTTTTTGGTGCATCTCGTGACAAAGTTCGGGGATGCAACTTTATTTAATAGAAAAAGTTTATATAATGTTGATGCCTTAAAATGTAGACTTAAGGCGCACCTCCAAAATCCATCTGAAAATGTCATTTTGATGTCGGAAAAACATCTAATTGATCATCTCGATATCGAAATATATAAATATGGAGAAGTAAAGTTATTCCGAGTCCTAAAAATAATACGTCTTAAAACATATTATGTAGACTGTCTATTTTCGAGATTTTCATGTGTTTATAGATCTGAACCATTTTTAAAGTTTAAAATTTTATAATTATAATAAAAATAGATTTTCATGTCATCCTAAAAATTTTCAATACAAAAGTTACATCTCATGAGAGACTTTAGAAGTACACCTTCATTTAATCGGTAGTTTAAGGTTGCAACCTCATACAAACCACACCCATGTTTGAGACCACACCCACATTTGATTAGGTTGCAACCCACACCAATATTTGAGACCACACCCCACCCACGTTTGATTGGGTTGCAACCTTGGGCAAACTGCAAATCAACTATTGGTAAAAAAAAAAAAAATGCAAATCAAACCCCTTGACAAACCTCCCAAAAGTTCAAAGAATTGCCGGAAAGGATGTGCCCGTAATCAAATGAGGTGCACCCCCAACTCTCTCCCTCTCTCATCTCCTTCGTCGTTTCCCTCTTCCTCCTCTTTCACCATGGCGGCCTCGACCTCCCAAAACGACCAGCTGTTGCAGATTTATCCTACTTCCCCCGCTCGTGTTTCCCCTTTTTGGAGAGGTTCTTCTTCTTCCCGTTTTGCTTTTCCTCTTCTCAAATTCTTGGTTTCTTAAACTTGGTAATCTTCTATGGGACCCTTTCTTGGTTTTCTTGAGTCCTTTGTTTTTGAGCTTGTTTGTTAAGCTTGATCTTGTTATATCAGAGTTTTCGTCTTTCTTTTTTTTTTTCATTTGCAGAGAAATATGAAAAGAATGCTAGAAAATACTGGGATGTATTCTATAAGGGCTATGAAAACAAGGTAAAGTGCGGTGGTTATGATTGTTTCCAAATTTTCATGATTTCACTCTTGTTTTTTTGAAACTGCAGTTCTTCAAAGATCGGAGCTATTTGGACAAGGAATGGGGGCTTTATTTTACTGTGAGTAGTTTAGGTACTTGTGGTTGCTGATTTTGTCTTTCTTCTTTTCTCTCTCTCTTTCTCTCTCTCTCTCTAGTCGGTGGGNGGTCGAAGGGCACGACGTAGGGGAGTTAGGGC